ACAGGCAGACTGCCCAGCGCCCCGCAGCACCCAGTCGGCAAGGGCGCTGCAGGTGGAGGTGCCCACTCCGGGCATGGAGGGGTGTGTGAGCCTGTTTTGTGGTTGCAGCGAGTGGTACTACGCCCGCAGCCCCTTCCTGAACTCCCAGTGTCGGGCAGAGATCCTGGGCAGCCTCTATGAGCTGGACGGAGTCACCTTCCACCTGGCTTTGCACAGGGCTGACCTGGACACCGCTTGGCCCATGTTCTCTGAGTGAGCCTGGGGATGCGGGGGGCATGGGGGCATTGGGGACACTGGGGATGTCAGGGGCATCAGGGGCATTGAGAGCTCAGCATCACAGGGCAGCATATGGACTTCCCTCTGTCACCCTGGAGTCTGTGTGGCACCCCAGCTGTAGCAGTCCCCCGTATATGGCCCCAGGCCAGCAGAGACACCAGCGCTGACATGCACACCTTGCCCATGCCTGCAAACACGCCACGCATGCCCACACAGACACACGGTGTGGTCCTCTGACAAGCACATGCCCAAGCACAGGTCTGCTGCAACACTGTGACACTGTGACATCTGAGACATGGGGACACGTGTGTGTGCATGCACGCCCTTGCCCCTGGGGACACTTACTGCTGTCCTAGCACACTCGTGCGTGCTATGCTGCTCTCACACTCATATGCATGCAGTGCCACAAGCACATATGTCACCCCTAATTCCCTCCTGCCACTGGGATCTCTGGATGCCACCTGCTCTGTGGGTGCCCAAGCTGGTGGCACCAGCATCCCTGGTCCCCTGACTACATACCACCCAGTGTCATCAGTCCCATTGCCCTCTCCACTCCCAAAGGCTGTCTGTGCCCAGGGAGCTCTACAGGAGCTGGCAGTGCCTGGCTCACCCTGGGGGTGACGTGGTGGCCCTGAGTTCTGTATCCCCTCTAGGACGCTGGTACGCACCAGGTCCGTGGCCCGGAGCAGCCCAGCAAAGACAACACTGCAGACAGGTGATACAGGCACCAGGTCGCATGGATGGCCTGATGGCATCGCCCTTCCCACTGCAGCACCCCATGTAGCGCCAGACCAGCTGTGCCCACCTGTCTTGGCTGTCCCATGGGCAGGGGGTGTAGAGATGCAGAAGGATGTAGAGAAGGATGTGGAGGTGAAGAAGGACGTGGAAGAGCAGGATGAACATGAGGTGGACGAGGATGAGGATGACGAGGAGGATGAGGATGACGAGGAGGATGAGGATGATGATAAGGAGGAGGTGGAGGATGTAGATGTAGAGGATGCTGTGGAGTTGGAGGACATGGAAAAGGAAGATGAAGAGGAGTTGGAGGATAATGAGAAGGAGATGGAGAACATGGATGTAAAGGAGCTGGAGAATGCACACAGGGCTGGCAAAGCACTCCAGCCCAATGGTGACCAGGAGCCTGGCATGTCCCCGTCACCCAACATGGAGTGTATGCCAGACTCCCTGCCACCAACGCCTGGGCAGCTGGATGGCACAGAGGCATCCCTGTGGGCACTAGTGTCCCAGCTGCGGACTGAGCTGCGGCAGCGGGAGGTGGCATCACAGGCGCTGGCGGCCCGGCTGGCACAGGAAAAGCAGCGTCACCGGCGCTGGGAGAAGAGCAGCGCCCAGTGGGCCCAGCTGCAGGTGTGCGAGGCCGAAGCGCTGCGAGAGACCAATGCCTTCCTGGGGCAGTAGCGGGGGGGCCAGGGGTGCGGGCACAAGTGCAGGAGGAGGCACAGAGGTGGCAGGAGGTGGCGGAGGAGCGGGGCACCCAGCTGGCCACGGCACTGGCAGAGGCGGCAGCGCTGGCCTCACATCTGCGGGACTGCCAAGCGGCACTGGCCAAGGCGGGACAGACGGGCGTGCTGGAGGATGCCTGTGCCCCGAATGAGGTGGCCACCGTGGAGGAGGTGCTGCGGCGGGCGCTGGAGCTCGCTTGCAGCCCTCAGGAGCCCCCACAAGACCCCCAGTCAGAGGGGGAGCCCAGCACAGCCACCGGCATGGCCATGGTATGAGCAAGCCCAGGTGACCCCACAGTGGGGTGGGGGATTGGGAGTCCAGTGCTGAGCCCCTGCTTTCCCACAGCGTCTGGCTGCCCTGGCCACCGCGGCACAGGAGGAGGCTCGGCAGAGCCGGGAGCAGCTCCAGGCCCAGCAGCAAGAGGTGGCACGGCTGCAGGAGCAGCTCAGCAGGTTGGGCAGCAACTCCCCACTTTCACCACTCCTTGTCCCACCATGTGTCCCCTCCATCCCCATCTGCCACAGAGTTACCCCTGGGACCCTTTGTGGTGCCCCACTTGGACCCAGGGGTGAAGCTTCTGGGGAGGGAGAGAAGGATTTGGAGAGGGAAGGGTGGAAGGAAGGAGGGAACAACTTGGGCATTGATGGGTAGGCAGATGGATGGGTGGGCAGAGACATGGAAGAATTAATCTGGAGCAAGTAGATGGATGGAAGGATGGGAGGGTGGCTGAAGGGGTGAA